GCCCACACTCTGCCATTGCCAACACTTTCCAGGTCTCTCTCACACTGCTGGTGTGTTCCATTTTTGTCATAGGGTGCTGGCAGATTACGGGCTCACCATAGCTGCTGCCAGGCCCGTAATCTGCCATGGGCCCCCGTACCGCCCTCCTTTCATTCTGCTGCCAGCCAGAGTCTCCCATGGTCCCTATACGGGCCTCCCATTGCTGCTGTCTCCATCGCCACTCTGCCATGTGCCACTTTTCAGGTCTCCTCACCACTGCTGGGTTGTGATCCATTCCATTTTATTGTCATAGGGTGCTGCGCAGATTAGGGCCTCCCATTGCTGCTGCCAGGCCCGTAATCTGCCATGGGGCCCCCGTACCGCCTCAACCGCTCATGATGCTGCTGCCAGGATCCAGAGTCTCTCATGGGTCCCTGTACGGGCTCCCATTGCTGCTGTCTCCATCGCCACACTCTGCAGTGTGCCACTTTCAGGTCTCCTCACCACTGCTGGTGTGTTTCCATTTTTGGTCATAGGGTGCTGGCAGATTACGGGCCCCATTGCATGCCGCCCTAGGCCTTTAATCTGCCATGGGCCCCTGTACCGCCTCCTTCATGCTGCTGCCAGGTTCCAGAGTGTCTCAAGGGTCCCTGTACGGCCTCCCATTGCTGCTGTCTCCATCGCCACACTCTCTGCCATGTGCCCATTTCCAGTCTCCTCACACATGCTGGTGTGTTCCATTTTGTCATCAGGGTGCTGGCCAGATTACGGGCCCTCCCATTGCTGCTGCCAGGCCCGTAATCGACGCCCGATGGGCCCGCATCATGTACGCCCTCAGTAACTCTTCTGCTGCTGCCTACAGATGTTCCACAGTGTCTCATTCATTTTTTGGGTCCCTGTACGGTCCTCCCATTGCTGCTGCCGTCCATCGCCACACACTCTGCCATGTGCCACTTTCAGGTCTCCTCACACTGCTGGCGTGTGTTCCATTTTGTCATAGTAGGGTGCTGGCAGATTAACGGGCCTCCTCCCATTGCTGCTGCTAGCCGAGGCCCTGTAATCTGCCATGGGCCCACTGTACCGCCTCCATCATGCTGCTGCCAAGGTCCACACGTGTCTCATGGGTCCCTGTACGGCCTACCCATTGCTGCTGTCTCCATCGCACACTCTGCCATGTGCCAACTTTCAGGTCTCCTCACACTGCTGTGTGTGTTCCGAAATTTTGTCAACCAGGGTGCTGGCAGATTAACGAGCCTCCCAGAGGTCTGCATGCTGCCAGGCCCGTAATATAAAATCTGCCATGGGCGGGAAGTATACACGCCTCCCTCATGCTGCTGCCAGGTCCAGAGTCTCTCATGGGGTCCCATGTACGGCCTCCCATTGCTGCTGTCTCCATCGCCAACTCTGCCATGTGCCACTTTCAGGTGTCTCCTCACACATGCTGGTGTGTTTCCATTTTGTCATAGGGTGCTGGCACAGTTACGGGCCTGCACAATTGCTGCTAGCCAAGGCCTGTATTCTGCCATGGGCCCCTGATCCGCCCTCCGCTCATGAGGAATGCTGCCAGGTCCACGTACAGTGTCTCATGGGTCCCTTGTACGGTCTCCGCATTGATGCTGTCTCCATCGCCACCACTCTGCCATGTGCACAACAGCTTTCAGGGCTCTCCTCACATGCTGGTGTGTCCATTTTTTTCATAGGGTGCTGGCAGATTAAGGGCCTACCATTGCTGCTGCCAGGATACGTGGGACGTAATCTCTTGCCATGGGCCCACCGTACCCGATACTCCTCATGCTGTGAGTTTCAAAAGGTGGCATTCAACCCTAACATCCTGTTAGAACCGCCTTTAACGAACAGCCGAAAGGGCCATCAACAGATTTTCCTGATGTTACAAGCGCGATAAAGGTACTCCCCTGTGTGTACACTTCGAGGTCCAGCCATTGGTCACTCAATATGCGTGACACCTGCCGCTGTGCATATGAGCAGCCCTTTTGAGAAGCGGCCCCACGCTATTCGTGAGTCGGCCCTTGACCTATGGGATTGAAACGTCATTCCTCTGTTGCACGTCCCCTGCCCCCCTTCCCTTGAACAAATGCTGGTTAACAATGGGCTGGTCTGGGTGCGGTGTGACGTGGCGCACAGATCTCAACGCCACATGACCCCTGTGGGGGCAGGACAGGAAGAAGCGGAGGAGGTTGAGGGAGGACATTTTGGTGCTCAGGAATTAATGAGTGAAACTATGGTGGTTTTTCCCACTCAGCGGACAAGAGTGGAGGTAGCAGGAAGCATCTGGTAGAGGAGGAGGAGACAGAGGACACCTAGACGCAACAACGTGGCAGTATGCTGTGGAGATGGAGGCAGGGTGTGTCCCTCGCATTCCTTGAGCACAAATGACCCATAGCATGCTCGGTTTGCTTTGCGTAGCCGACAGCCGAATAATAACCATCAGGACAGGGGGATGACTTTTGGCTGCTCCACCTTGTTGGACCCCTCGCTAACCTGTTCAAAAATGGTGGCCTTTTTCACACCTGCTGAGGGAGGCCAAAATAACGTACTTATAAAAACCACAGATGTAAGTCAGTTGGTCTCTGCCACTTTCTGCCGCCAACGGTCTATCCTCAGACACTGTGGGCCCTGTGCGCTCGCATCATTACCGAATGCCATGCGCAGCAGGGGAGGGGTGGGGTGGTAGGAGCAAGTGGGCAGCTCCACCAGCAGCGGCTGCCTCAGTCTCTGCAGGTCGATGATGAGCTAGCTTTCTTCACCAGCCGCAGTGAGGAAACTACTAACCCAGCCGCAGCCCAGCTGCTAGCATCAGGTGGACCTGGAGCAGGAACCTTTCAAACCCGTAACAGGCTTGGGCCCTACTTGGACAGCACCCTGCCAACCGAGGTAGACAATCCCCCTTGACTACTGGGCAACGAAACTTGACCTTTGGCCCCAACTAGCTGAATTTTTGCCCTTGAAAGGCTTATACTCATTCGCCCCGGCCAGTAGCGTGGCATCGGAGCGCAGTGTTTTAGTGCGGCAGGAGGTATTGTAACTCCGCGGAGGACACGACTGTCCACCCAAAGTGTGGAGAGACTCACGTTTGTGAAAAATGAATTCAGGCGTGGATTAGTCTGGATTTCAAACCACCAGTTCCTGACTCAACTGACTAAAATCCGCCATGAATCATGCCCCAAAACATGTGCCACTTTCAGGTCTCCTCACACTGCTGGTGTGTTCCATTTTTGTCATAGGGTTGCTGGCAGATTACGGACCTCCCATTGCTGCTGCCAGGCCCGTAATCTGCCATGGGCCCCTGTACCGCCTCCTCATGCTGCTGCCAGGTCCAGAGTCTCTCATGGGTCCCTGTACGGCCTCCCATTGCTGCTGTCTCCATCGCCACACTCTGCCATGTGCCACTTTCAGGTCTCCTCACACTGCTGGTGGGTTCCATTTTTGTCATAGGGTGCTGTATGGCCTCCCATTGCTGCTGCCTCCCACCGCCACACTGTGGCTCCACACTCTGGTTTTGGCCCCGTGACTGCCCAAATGAGTGAAGTGTGCGGTGATTCTAAGATCGGCGGCACTCATCTGCATGTCATACTGACTGACAGTATTATTTCTCTTCCCAGCAGACTCCAAGGGCATTTAAATTAAAGGTACAGTGTACTGCACTAATATAAAGGCTCTCTGAAGCCTAGAAACACCCTTTTATAAGTTAAATTCGCAGCGAATATATTCGTATCGAATCGAATTTATTCCTCGAATTCGCCGAATTAGCCAAATCGAATTTTTGAATACTTCGCTCATCTCTAATTTAATATGAATAAGGAAAAAATGAAATAATTCAATAAACCGTTCACTGACCCCAAAAAAGTTACTTATAATCTAATTTTAATAAAACTTCTCATAATTTTGCGTAATCCCCAGCGGATAAATTGAACAAGGCTTTTAAACCGCTTACCCACTGCTGTATAGCAGATATATTGCTACAGGGCGGCATGGGTGCGCAAAAAATCACGTAAAAATACATGATTTTGCATTTCCGTGTAGGGGGCACGTGCAAACCCTACCTGCGCCACCATTCGCAGCAACAGATGTCAATCACCGGGTCCCGGCCGGTGATTACCCGCCGACGCCTGGTGTTTTACCGACAATCACCGATGGGGAGGAAGACTGTTTTGTTTACAAACAGTCTTCCTCCCTATCAGCTTAGGCACACTGCTCTAGATAGCTGTGCACAGCACAGCCATCCAGATCAGTGTGCTTACAGTGAAGCACACATCCCCCACCCCCTAGTGTCAGTGCTGTTTTTTTAGCACTGATCACTGTATTGGTGTCACTGGGGATGTCAGTGACACCAAGTTAGTCCCCCCCCCCGTGTCAGAATGCCTGCCGCAGTCCTGCTAAAAGTTGTTGATCGCCGCCATTACTAGTAGGAAGAAAAAATCTCTATACCGCCATTTGTAAATGCTATAATTTTCACATAAACCAATTAATTTACACGTATTCTGATTTTTTTTTAGCAAAGACATGTAGCACAATACATTTTGGCCTAAATTTATGACGACATTTGTTTTTCTACATTATTTTACTGGACATGTTTAATAGCAAAAAGTATAATATATTGTTTTTTTTTTCTCAAAATTGTCATTTTTTTTTTGCTTATAGCGCAAAAAATAAATCAAATATGACCAAAAGCAAGCTCAATTTGTGGAAAAAAAGGACGTAAATTTCATCTGGGTGCGGCATTGCATGACTGCGCAATTGTCAGTTAAAGTAACGCAGAACCGTAATGAAAAAAATGGCCTGGTCAGGAAGGGGGGTAAATGCTATGGAGGGCAAGTGGTTAAAGTGCTTCTTGCTGGACCTGTACATTCTTGTCCCTCCAATATACAATCTATAAATATGCTAGGAAATGTGAATAGAATAGAGATTAAGGACCACAGTGCGGGTGTTATACCGGTAATCTTGTTATGTCATTCATATTTATGATTGAGCCATGTTTCTTTTATCTTTGTATATACTGACAGGCGTGAGATAAAACCCTTTGGAGTAAAAGTTTCCATTATAGAACCTGGCTATTTTAAGACTGGACTGAATGATATGCAGTACATGAAAAACATTCTGAGCAATATTTGGAAAAACCTCCAACCAGAAGTCCGTTATAGCTATGGAGAGAAATATTTCAAACGTTGTAAGTTATATAGCTTTATATTCAAAGCGCTCACCATCCTGTCAATTTAGAATTCAATTTATCGACAGACATTGGTCATGATGGAAAAATGATAGCTGTCATTACTGACAGCTGAAAATGATAGTTGTCTGGTTTTAATACTGACATTCTTCAACTCTCAGAGTGATTTACTGAGCCAGAATGTGTTTGCAGAGAAGGCTTGTCTGTGACTCTTGATCAGTATAGTTGTTCCATATCTTTAATTTAGAAGTTAAAAAAAGCCAAGGTTCAGTATAGAAGCTAGATAACTAGCATTTTCAGAAAAAGATCAGGACTGGCAGCTGTCTTGTATCACTCAGTACAGCTTTAAATTTACAATCTGCAACTAAATGTGAACAATTTTGGTAGACTTGCACAGTAACTGGCACTAGTAGATACAGCTTTTTGGGTAGAGTCAGGACAACTGATACCACCATCTGCTGCAGCTGGTGTTTAAGGCTGACAGCTCTTTACAGTGCAGTGCAGGGGCGGACTGATAACTCATGGGGCAATAGAGGATCATGGGGCCCCTGTGTCCTTGCCCAAACTCAAAAAAACCAATGAAAAAGGTACCAGGAGCATCTCATGGGGCCCCCTACTGACCCCGGGCCCTCGGGCAGTGCCCGAGTTTCCAAATGGTCAGTCGGCCCCTGGTGCAGTGTAATGTACTGGTCTGCTGAGTATGGTGTACCTACCTACCTAACATTACTTACCTGTTGAATAAACTTACCTTCCTAATGTGTACCTACAGTATATGATCATTACTGTGCGCCTACTGTCAAATCTTTTTAACGCAAACTGGGCCATGTTTTAAAAGAATTATTACCTTCAGGTTTGTATTTTTTCTTTGGATGAACTCCTTGTATCTAAAATCAAACAAAAAGAAAACAGCACTAAATGAATGTGATAATAACCATACAGTGCTAGTTAACTGTGGCACCTTTCTAGATAGGTGCTAGGTTAGATATAATTAGTTGTGTCTTTGATAGGTAAATTCAGTTGTCACTCTGTGGTTGGAGTGGCTGTTAGAGATGAGCGAATTTCTCAAAAATTCGATTCGGCTGATTCGGCGAATTCCAGTGTGAAATTCGATTCGATGCGAATTTCTTCGCTACGAAGATGACTTATTAAAAAAGGGTTTCTAGGCTTCAGATAGCCTTTAAATTAGTGCAGAACACTGTACCTTAATTTAAATGCCCTTGGAGTAGATGATGGAAAGAGAAGGAAAGGAGAAGGAGAAGGATGAGAAAGAAGGAGAAGGATTGATGAGAAGAAGGAGGTGAGAAGGAAAGGAGTAAATCGGATGTAGAGGAAGATAGGAGAAGGAGAAGGATGGGAGAAGAAGTGGATAAGAAACTTAGAATGGATGAGAAGTAGTGAGAGGATGAGGATAGAAGGAGAAGGAATGAGAAGAAGGGAGAAGGATGAGAAGAAGTGAGAAGCGAGAAGGATGAGAAGAAGGAGAAGGATTTTGAGAAAGAAGGAGAAGGAGAAGGATGGAGAAGATGGAGAAGGAGATAGGATGAGAAGAAGGAGAAGGAAAGGAGAAGGATGATGAAGGAAGAGAAGAAGGAGAAGGATGAGAAAGGAAGGAGAAGGATGAGGAGAAGATGAGAAGGATGAGAAGAAGGAGAAGGAGAATAAGAAGGAGAAGGATGAGAAGAAGGAGAAGGATGAGAAGAAGGAGAAGGAGGAAGGATGAGAAGAAGGAGAAGGATTGAGAAGAAGGAGAAGGAGAATGGATGAGAAGAAGGAGACAGGAGAAGCAGAAGGAAGAAGAGCATGAGGAAGAAGGAAATCCCAGGATGAGAGAAGGAAAAGTAGAAGAGCCTAGAAGGAAGAAAGGATGAGAAGAAGGAGAAGGAGAAGGATGTGAAGAAGTGAGAATTTTGATAGAAGAAGGAGAAGGAGAAGGCTGAGAGTTAAGGCGAAGGATGAGAAGAAGAGAAGGTGGATGAGAAGAAGGAGAGATGAGTGAAGGATGAGAAGAAGGAGGAGAAGGAAGAAGGATGAGAAGGAGGACATTCTGTGACAGGGTCTAGGTGATCATTCAAGAAGAGAAGCTGATGAGGGAAGTCATGGAAGGAGTCAAAATAGAACTAGATGGTAGATGAAGTTCTGGAGCAGCTCCCTGAAGAGATGCACTCCTTCTCCATAAATGAGGATAGATCCAATCCTTCTCAACCGCTGTATGGAAGGACAGTCTCCACCCAGAACTGTCATTAATCAGTCTATTTCCAGACAGTCCTAAGGAGAATCTCCCTCCCAGAACAGCGGTTGAAACAGCTTTACAGGAGTGAGATCCGTCTCAGAACTTGTCAGAAATAGACGTACTTTATGACAGTTCTGGACTGTCCTTCCATATCCCTCGTTGAAACATTTAATCCTATTTTTTCCAATAAATGACATACTGCAAATACACCTTAGAGAGCGCTGCAAGATACAACTTTTATTTGCCGCTTGGATCTCCTCCTTATTTTCATCCAACTTCTCTTCTTCATCCTCAAGCCTCATAAGAAGAAAAAAGAAGAAGTATGATGAAAGAAATAAATCAAGCCGGCAAAAAGTCTCATGCAGCGCTCCTCTAAGTGTAACTGCAGAATGTCCCCATATGGAACAAATAGATACAAATGTTTCTGCATGGATTTACATCCCAGAAACTGTCATAAATATTCTATTACTGACAGTTCAGGGACATTCACTCCATACAGCTGTTTTTCAACCGCTGTATGCGAGGGAAATGTCCATAGAACTCGTCATAAATAGACTATTAAACCATGACAGTTCTGGACTGTCCTTCCATGCAGCGCGGTTGAACACATATGTATGAATTTGTTTCCATAACATGGATCCAATTTATGGAAACAAATATATACAATGTTTCACCGCTGTATGGAAGGACAGTCCCCATAACTTGTCAATAAATAGTCTATATCTGACAGGTTCTATGACATTCCCTCCATACAGCGGTTTTTGAAACAGCTGTATGTAGTGACATGTCCCAGAACTGTCAGAAACAGACTATTTATTGACAGTTCAGGGACTATACCTATGCCATACAGCGGTTGAAACAACAAAGTGTATCTATATTTTTTTCCATAAATGACATTCTGCAAATACACTTAGAGGAGCGCTGCAGATACACATTATTGCCGGCTTGGAAATAAATCTTATTTTCATCTACTCTCTTCTTCTTCATCCAAGCCGCCAAAAAGGTATCATCTCCTCCAAGTGGTATTTGCAAAATGTCATTTAAGAAAAAAAATAGAACAATGTTTCAACCGCTGAAGTAAGTAGGCTGAAAAAATAAGAATAACATTCACCAAGCCGCTGTTCAACCGCTAAGTGTATCTATTAATGCAGCGCTCCTCAACCATAAGCGGTTGTATCTGCAGGAATGTCATTTTCATGGAAAAACCTGTAGATACATGACATTTCAACCAGCTGTATGGAGTGAATGTCCCAGAACTGTCATAAATAGTCTATTTCATGACAGTTCTGGTACATTCAACTCCATACAGCTGTTTACAACCGCTGTATGGAGGGAATGTCATAGAACTGTCAGAAATAGACTTATTAATGACAGTTCTGGGACTGTCCTTCCATAACAGCGGTTTTTGAAACATTGTATGTATTTGTTACCATAAATGGATCCATTATGGAAATCAATACATACAATGTTTCAACCGCAGTATGGAAAGGACAGTCCCAGAACTGTCATTAATAGTCTATTTCTGACAGTTCTATGACATTCCCTCCATACAGCGGTTTTTACAGCTGTATGGAGTGAATGTCCAGAACTGTCAGAAAGTATATGACTATTTATGACACAGCCCGCTGTATGGAGTGACATGTCCATAAATGACAGAAACTGTCAGATAAAGAGGAGGACAGTTCATGGGATCATTCTCCTTTTTCTTCATACAGCGGTTGAAACATTGTATCTATTTTTTTCCATAAATGACATTTGATACTGTCTGCAATACACTTAGAGGAGCGCTGCAGATACACTTTTTCCGGCTTGGAATTATTCTTATTTTCATCCTACATCTTCTTTTTCTTCTTATGATGAAGAGGATGAAGAAGAAGAAAGTAGGATGAAAATAAGATTAATTCCAAGCCGGAACAAAAGTGTATCTGCAGCGCTCCTCTAAGTGTATTTGCAGAATGTCATTTTATGGAAACAAAAATAGATACAATGTTTCAACCGCTGTATGGAAGGACAGTCCCAGAACTGTCATAAATAGTCTATTTCCGACAGTTCTGGGACATATCACTCCATAACAGCTGTTTCTGAACAGTCAACATCCATACAGCTGTAGGGATGGAGGAATGTCATAGAACTGTCAAAATAGACTATTAATGACAGTTCTGGGACTGTCCTTCCATACAGCGGTTGAAACATACAATCACTCACCAAACATGCTGTTTCAACTTCAACCGCTGTTTTGGAAGGGAATGTCATGGGATCTGTCAGAAATAGACTATAAATGACAGTTCAGGGACGTCCTGTCCATTCAGCGTTGAAACTAGTATGGTATTAGTTTCCAAAAATGGATCCATTTTATTAAACAAATACATACAATGTTTCAACGCTGTATGGAATGGACAAGTCCCGAGAACTGTCAGAAATAGACTATTACTACAGTTCTATGGGACATTCACTCTACACAGCTGTTTCAACCGCTGATGGAGGGAATGTCATAGAACTTAATGAAGTATGAGGAAAGTTACCATAAATGGAATCGCATGTATGGAAACAAATACCTCCAATGGAAGGACAGTCCCAGAACTGTCATAATAGTCTATTTCTGACAGTTCTATGACATTCCCTCCATACAGCGGTTGAAAACAGCTTATGGAGTGAATGTCCCAAGCAACTGTCAGAAATTAGACTTAATTTTAATGACCAGTTCTGGGGACATGTCAACTTCCATACAGACGTTATGAAACATTGGTATCTATTTTTTTCCAATACATAT